AAAAAAAAAACATGAAAAAAAGCTTAATATTATTGCACCGCCTATGGCGGTGCACTGACGTGAGAGCAATATGCAGGCTTTTATTTTGAAACTTTTAGTAAGCTTCATTTTAAATGGCCACACTAATCCAATGTGTAACAGTGGTTGGGTTAAACCAGTAATATAATGCCCAGAACATTCTGCCCTGTCTGTAGTTATAACATTCTGCTCACCCTTCTGTAGTAAGTCAGAGTTCCACCATTATGTAGTTCTTAACTGCCAGCTCAGCCCTCCTCTGTAATAACTGAGTGTTCCACCATGTTGTAGTTCTGACCTTCTGCTCTGCTCTCTGTATTAAAGTGTTCTGCCATGTTTAGAACTACAGAGTCTTTGTAGTCCAAACCAGCAGCTCTGCCTTTCTCTGTATTCTGTTGCTATAGTGATTAATCCTCAGCCAACTGCTGTGTGTGTGAGACAGAAAGGCGGAGAAGGATTTCTATCTTTATGAGACACCCAGTCAGTTTTGATGAAAAAAGCTGTCCGAACAACTCCTTCCCGTTCAGGATCCGTAAGGCTGATCCAAAAACCGTTTGAAGCATATGAGAGGGCTATTTGTCGTCTCATTTAGTACCGCGATTCATATCTGTAGCTCATTCACAGTAATTGCAGTGATGAGAGAAAAATGGTGTGCGCTGAGCTCAGAGATTTTTCAGAAATGTATGTAAAACACTGGAGAGGAGCGTCAGTTATCCTGTCCCAAAACTTTGCTCTGAAGCACCTGGACCGAAAACCGTAAGCCCTAGGGAAATTTTGAAAACATTTTACCGGAGCAGGCATACGCATCAATGTCATGACCGACTTTCATACCAATAGAGCAATTTTTGCACCCATGAGAGCGATTTCAAAATTATTTTGGGGTCAAAATTCCACTCTGTTTCTCACTCTAAAAAAGCGGCAGTTGGTGTCAGTTACACTCTGCGTTTCGGCAGTTGGAAATTTAGCTAGTTTTTTGCTTTTTATGTCGCCGTTGTAACTCCGATCCTCAATAAAAGTAATAGGTCCAATGCCGGGATCGAGACACACGTTTTGATACCACTTTTGTGGGGTTTCTCGCAGCGGTACGAGCCGCATTAACGGTAATGGAAGAAGATGTTATAATAATAACTAGAA